ATGGCGCTGCGGCTCGCCCGGCTCGGGACCGGGGCGGCCTGGGAGGGCCTCCCCCGCCGCGAGCGGCTGCAGCTTCTTCAGCACCTCCTCGCTGGCCTCGGGGTGCGGCCCCCTGCCCCCGCGCCGACGGCCCCCGCCGACCTCACGGCCTCGGCCTTCCTCGCCGAGCTCGACGCCCTCGAGCCGGCCCTGATGGAAGGCGTCGCGCACACCCCCAGCGGGGAGGCCGCCTCCCTGGCCTGCTATATCGTCCAGACGAAATTCAACCGCCCAGGGCTGCTTAACCGCATGTACCGCGAGGCGATCCATCGCTTTCCCTCCCAGAAGGCCCTCTTGGTTAACTACGCCGACTTTTGCTCGAAGCGGGGCTATCATGGGCTCTCGCGGAAGTACTACGCCCTCGCCTTCGCGATCGCGGAGGGGGATAGCTGTCGGACGCGGTGCTACGCCAACTACTACTACAACTGCCACCCCCACATCCACCAAGGCGTCGTCAGTGAGGCGATTTACCGCTTTTATCTCGAGCGCTTTCCCCATTCCTCGGAGGCCTATATGATGTACGCGGGCTACCTCGCCTCCGTGATGCCGACGCCGTTTAAAAATCAGCGCGTTTTCACCGAGGGCTTGCAGCTCGATCCGAGTTCGAAGCTGCTTTCCAGCTATGGCTTTTTCATCTGGGCATGCGCCGACAACCCCGCCGTCTCCGCCGCCGAAGACGTGCAACGGCAGATTTTCGACAAGGCGGAGAAGATCTTTGAGCGGGCCGCGGAGCTGGACCCGAATAATCCCGAGATGCTGCAAAACCTCGGGCGCTTCTACGCGAGCCGGAAAAACCGCACGAAGGAGGCGATCGAGACCCTTAATAAGGCCCACCAATTAAGCCCTTACAACGCCGATATCGCGCTCCAGCTCGCCTTGGCTATCGAGGACGAGTGCGTGCGGTTTGCCGAGGAGGAGCGGTTGCGCCTCGGGGGTGGGGAGGGGATGGCCGTCGGGACTGCCCCAAACCGCCCTCGCGAGTCCTGGCAGTCTCCTCGCTTGCGCTCGCTCAAAGAGGCGGTTAAACAGGCTTTTGAAAAGGCCATCGACCTTAACCCTTCCCACGTCGAGGCGTTGGATCGCTACGCAAAGTTTGCGGTTTCGATCTTGAAGGATCCCGCCTTGGCGGCGGAAATTTGGTCGCGCATTCAACGACTCAACCGCTCTGGCGATTAAGGAGGGATGCCGGAGGAGGGGGAGAAAAGGGGAGGGGATAGCGCATTGAAAATGACAGAAAGACGCGGTCATTTGGCAAAGGGCTTCCGAACATTGCTGATTTTCGATCTTGCCGTGTGTGTGTTTCCGTATATTCGTTGTCCAAGCAGAACCCATAATGATGATCGAGCTAGTATCTATGCATGTCCTTTCTCTTTGCTTGTGATTCGAGATTTAGTTTTGTTTTGTTTATTAAATTGTATTGTATTCCCACGTTCAAAGCGTTTTTAATGTATCAGATTCTATCTTCTTTATTTTAGAATTTCTACAATCATGTACGATCTTCTTTTCCATCCTAATTATACTTCCTCAGCTAAGAAGAGTTATTGAAACAATTTTTGACGACCAAAAAGGAGAGGATGAATTTTTCAAAATTAGGATGCGTGAGAAATGACCTCATCCTTCTTTCTTTTTCCCCTCTTTGTCTTTTTTTTTTTTTTTTGCATTATATGCATTGATTCGGTATTTTATTTTCCACCTCAGAGCTGTTGTTGACGTTGTTATCAGTTTTTAAGTACCGGTGGGAAAACTAGATCCGCGTTCCACGCGCAGAGCTAAGGTGTCACTTCGATTATCCATTTCCCCAGAAAACCACAACCCCCCCCCAAAAAAAAGGCGACCGGTGGTTCCCGACCTGTCACGCCTCATGTTGAGCCGAACGACGCGTCGACGCCGGGCGTTAGCCTCCTTTCCGCTCCCCAGTTGTTGGGTCTACCTGGTGTGTGTGGTTTGGCTATGCGGCGGGGTGCTCGGCGAGGCGGCGCGTCCCTCGGCGCGGGTTCTGTGGGT